AAAATTGACAGAATTTGTCCCATTTATTTTTATAATAAGCCAATATTGCCCGACTGTGAAGCGAATATTGCCCGACTGGCTTTGTTTGCCCAACAAACAGGGGGGAGCTGCTGGCCCCTCCGCCACCCCGCCCGGTACGCCCATGGAGAACATTGATTGTTATTATTGTCTGAGTTTTTCAAAAAAATGCACGTTTGTTTATTATTTTAAAATGAACGTATGGAACAACTAATATAGAATAGATATTTTCAATACGACTAAATAAATGCTTTTCAACAAAAAATAACACACGAAGCGGTCTTCAAATGTTATGGCATCTGTCACCGCAATGTATGTTTCGTGGATGGCGATTTTGAGGGTACGTACATTGCCTTATTTAAGACATGGATTTAAGACGTTTCGCAATTAACTCTTCCTTTTTTTGAACATATCACAGTTTGTTTCCTTAAATGTGTATCAAAAAGTGTTCAAAATAGATTCTGATTTGACAAGATTCATGAACATCCTAACTGTTTTTAAATGAAAACATGACTTCACGATGACAGAATTATTATTATCTTTCCTGTGCTCGAATCGACATACTCGACCTGACCGCGTAGCTCAGTTGGCAGAGCATTGGGCTGGTATTCCAAAGGTCTTATTTAGGTTCGATTCCAACCGCGGCCAGGCATATTTTCAAGCTTGCCCGTTGTGGATATACACTCGGACTAACATCACAAACATCATATTATTCACCTGAGTACATTACACCAACACAGAAAAGATCATGATTACTAGATTACATTGTATCGAAGGAACTAGACTCATTTCTAAAATATTACATACTCGAGCCGATCTGACCACGTAGCTCAGTTGGCAGAGCATTGGGCAAGTATTCCAAAGGCCGTAGGTTCGATTCCCACCGTGACCAACCATATTTTTCAAGCTTGCCCGGTGTACGTGGATATACACTCAAGAGTAACATCACCAGCATCATAATTATTGTTGCTTCATAAAATATGGCTCGAATTAAAAATTTCTCTTGTCGGGCTCTTTGTGTAAACATATAATATTAATTTTCAAGAAATATTGTTTCAAATATTATGATAGAATATTTTTTTTGACACTATAAATAATTTCTGTGATCTTCAATCGAATGAACATAAAATATGATTACAAGAGAACCAATGAGTCAAATTTAAGAAACCACCCACTGTTAGAAAGCTGAGTGGCTACGCTTTAAAATGAATGTAAACTTTAACGTTTTCGTCTATTATTTGTTTAGCAATTTACATTTCAATCGAGGATTGCGCTTTTTTTGATACACCCTGTATAGGCTCAAAGATCTTGATTGAAAAATTGAGTTTTGGAATTTCTTCAAAACAAAGTAAATCCTTCTGCATAACGATATGTTTCTATTGGGCGGCAAAAAATGTTTTGAAAGCTCGATAAATAATTGATGCAATAAAACGCTATTATTATTAGCAGTTTTGGCAATAATTCGCCGGAACTTATTTTTCACCCTGCTCGGTTTCCTTTGTTCTTATGGGGGAATATATTATTCAATATTCCCCTCTAATCAATTTCCGTTTCATGGTCCCTTCTAATATTCACCTGCAATGCTTTTGCAGCACAAAAAAATAAGAAAAAAACAACATAACGAAGGCAATATGGCATTAAGAATTATTTCTATTCTGACTCATTAACGCGACCTCGCAATGTGAAAAATAATTACGTTATTTTGACGCACCTCGGGGATATGTTTTTATTCACCTCGGCGCTGCGCGTCGCGGTAAATAAATCACATATCCCTTCGTTGCCTCAAAATAACCTATACATATTTAACACTTATTGAAAGAAGACCAAGATAAACAGTGGAGAGCTTTAGATTTAACAACGAGTACGACTACGAGGTTTGTTGTTTGCAAAACAATCTATTGTTACGCCGTTCCGCAGTCAAAATCTGTTTGTCAATTTGTCTGCTGTACGAGATTTATAAGACATCAGTATATGATGGCGTGAGAATATCGCATAAGAATATGGCGTATCCAAATAACGAATCTCGTAATCGTAGCCAAATCTAAGGCTCTCTAGTATGTTTTGTGGTCCAGCTAGAGACTGCTATTGGCATACGGCATACTGTTCTCAGAAAATCTCAGTCAACAAATATTTTATAGGAAATTCCAGCTTTTAATTCACGCGCGCGGGGGATGACGGAAGTAAGGTATCATATTGCTGATTATGCTGAAAAATTTCACTAAAATCTGCCGAAACAACCGAAATATTTCAATATTTACAAGAATGAGTTATCACTCCGTGTTTACACGGCCACCATTTAAATTTTTTTACCATAATCAGCAATATCATACCTTACTTCCCAAACCTCCCCCCCCCCCTGCACGCATAAACTAAAAGCCGGAATTGCCCAGTATATACTAAATTTTAAACGAGAACGTTACATGATTTTTGATCCAAAATTTATGAGAATTTTCATTTAGTGCTCAGATCGTTTTGTAAAAAAATATTTCGTATTGTACTATAAGTATGTGGTACTATACTTTCAGGTGACATGGAGCGAAATAATTATTATCCTATCTAAGTGAACCGTTAGGTAAATAATTTCAGTTAGTATAATTACATAGGTGATTATTGAAAATTCTCCACGCTGATTGGTTGCCGTTGAGGTGATTATTACACGATAATCATCTAAGCGATTTTCAAAATGGCGGCCGAAGCCGTTTTGTCAATTAAATGACGAAGAAATGTGCATTTTTAAATTTTTTTCCAAATAATCACCTATGAAATTATACTAAAACAATTATTCACCTCAGGCTCGGTGATTATCGTGAATAAAAACCTCGACTTCGTCTCGGTTTTTATTCACCGATAATCACCTCGCCTTCGGCGAATAATTGTTAAATAATCTGTATTTTTAACTCCAAATGAATTAGAAAACTGATTTATTTCACCAAAAAAAAACAAGTAAATGAAAATATGTAAAAGTAATTTATCTCACAGAATTTACGGAAATGGAATAATAAAACAGTTCACATTATGTCACCTTTTGTCTTTAAAACTATGGTATAAACATTGAACGGTATCGACATACAGTTAAATAACTCCAACAATTAATATGAGTTGTTATGACCACCGGACGAGAAAAATGAACTTGAAACTGTAGCAAACTAGAGAAGGATGCCCAACACTGCGCTTCAAGAAATCAGAATAACTTAATGAAACGACCGAATGAAAAGATTGTTCTTTCACAAAATGTTCATACAAGAATGTAGTCGTTTTATTGTCTCGACATCACACGTGAACGAGTGTTGCAGTTTTACAATCATTTTCGTGAAAGGATGAAGATATAAGGAGTTAGCAAGACTTTACAATACATTCGAAAGTTTCAAGTGAGGAAATGTATATTACTCTTCAGTGGATTTTAATTACAACCATAAAACTATCATTATGGAACAACTTTAATTTGTGACGAATGTGGAGATAATTCCGAAAACAATGTTGTAAGTTGTTGGCCGTGTCATTTGAACACCACAGATTACCTGAGATTATGAAACTGCAGTAACGATAATTATAAATATTAAAGATCAACTGCTAAAATTTCAGGTACTCGTCGGTACAAAATATTAGTATTGGACAAATCTGCTCTGAGATACTTTAACGATGTATACAACAGATCAACTTTTATATTTTTATGGTGTTATGTTGAAAAATCTGATCAATGACCATGTAAATTTACCGCGACAATGACAATTATGGATCATAAAATTCAACAAAATAGTTTCGTCATATTGATAAAGTAAAACAACATGTATGGAATCATGGAGATAACTGTTTCGTTGAATAACAAGGTTTGCTATCATTATTTTCAGTGCTACATCTACTCGAGAATTATATTCGTGTTCGTTTCTTCGTTGAAAAGATTAATCGACATATAGTTGTATTCATTTACGGTTTACGGACAAGATTCAATTACATGCATTTACCTTTATTGTAGACGTTCATGTTAGTGATCAATTTCGTCTGCAAGAATTTGGGTATAGTATTAATATAGAGAATCTGTGAACATTGCAATAAACTGGATACTGGCGCTCATTGTTATGCAGAAGGATAATGGTTTAATTTCATTATACTAACGTGGATTATATGTTGTCAAAAAGACCATCGGTTTGCTCCAGAATTTCATAACGCCGATCACGCGTCGTTCGCACATTATTTTCATCATCTAAAAACCGGTAAACGTGCTATTTATGCAGACTAATTTGTGATGTTTGAGCTATTGGAATTGAAGATACATGTATTTTTACGTGGTCTCGAGTGAATTGGAAAGTTAAGAAAGAAACGTTCTCAAGAGAATTTGCAGTGTTGTGAAACATTTGAAATCACTAGTTATTGTGTGCCTAGCTGTTGCTGACAAAAACTGAATGACAAATTTGTATCCTCGCGAGTAAATGAACAAATACTGTACGTATCGCATGTTTGTATCGATACTGTAATTGTATGAAATTAAATACTGTAATTTGTCCGTTAATAATTGGAAGAAATATATAGTAATAAAGTGTTAGGATATCTTTTGCACAAACCTAATGATATACATGAAAAAGTCAACTGCGATTGAATTCAGGGCAATATTAACATGAACTGTTTGATGAAATTTAATCAAATGTTTTCATGTACACTACTAGCTTTCAATACGTAAACAATTGTGGTTGTTTTGGTTGAAAGATATCCAATCGCGAGCATGGTCATGCTTCTCACTTAGCGATAACAAACCAACTCGCGTGAGTATTTTTCCTAATTTCGCTTGAAGTTATGCTATATTGCTTATTAAAAGAAGTTCTTCATGAAAATGGCGGCGAAGAGGCTATAATGAAAAAATATCATTTTGACATTTAGGATTGTTTCAGTTTTATGAACAAATTAAAAAATCTATTTCTTTGAATGTTTTAAAAATTATCATCTTGATTAGTAAAATTTTTGAAAACAAAAAAAAACGACCCCGCATGTCCTTATAAAACGATGCAAAAAATTCTGGCTTTACTATGCCTTTTATAGCGCTTTGCCACACCATTCTAGTGAAAATTGTTTATATATATATCATATTGAATACATTTTAGATAACAAATATACTAGGCATATCATTGTGCATGGTCCTTTTATGGAAATACTAGTTGTCTAGAACGTTACGGTTATGTATTAATTTTATATATTTTATGATGTATGTTGCTTTAATATTTAATAAAAAATATTACATTTATTTACCTTTCAGTGTGATTGTATAAAAGCCTTGAACTGCATCATATAAATGAGATGTTACATTCGGAAGGATTTTTAAGGATAATTTGCAATGCATTAAATATTATTATAATCATGTACATGAAATTTGACCAGTTCAGCACCACAAGTCATTACGATGCAAATCGTCGCTGAAACCTCTTCTTTGTGACGTCACTTTGATACACGCTTCTGGAACGTACGTTACCTTCACTATAGAGCCTCATTTTTGTGATTGAGACTGGAACTGATGTCACATACATGAAAGCGACGTACTTTCTGGGGGTTTAATATTCGTTTATTATAATTTTTGGATTGACGTCATTTTTACAAGCAGAAAATGTACTTAGAAATTTATTAAGATTGGCATTTGTATTTTTACCACAGATAATTAAATATTTCTCTCTTGTAAAGACGTTCGAAGACGTATACAGAAAAAAAGTATTTGTATGACAATGTTAAACTTCAACAATCTTATTACAAACCAAACATTTCTCTATCGGAGTGTACAAACAATGACAAAACAGGAAAACGCCTTCAAAATTTAAGTATGGCAAATTTGCAAATCCTATTGTTGTAATTCAGTCACGCGATAATCCCGCGATGACGTGTACTCCACGTTTGCGTTTCCGCGCGCATGCGTCGACAAAAGTTGCTTCTGACACTGGCTCAAATAAGTAGCAGTAATGTGCTCTGACACTGGCTTAAATCGACAGCCCAGGAAGAAAATTATACACACCTTCAGATTTGACAACCAATTTGACAGCTTACTCCAAAGTGGAAACCTCCTACTAAAAACGATATTATTGTGCAGGATTTAAAAGATCAAAATTGTCTCACAATAAATAGATCAGGAAGTAACTTGTTTCGCTGTAACTCCATGCACGGACATTGAAATATGATTTCAAACATTTATATTCATGAGGAATTTTGTCCTATAATTTGAGCCTGTATGATCCCGTGCATGAGTTTTATACCTGGTGCGCCCACATCCCAGGAGAAACATGGTTTGCATTCATTAAACAATTACTATTAGAATTCTCTATATAATAATAATTAGTTTCATTAATACATTTCTCCAGTACCTCAAGACCTATCAAGATATGATAGTCCGATTTTATGTTAATTTGTGTACTGTCACTGTGATTGAGTAATTTGAGTTCTTTGTATTTCTGTATAATTAAGTATCGTCCAATAGAGATAGTTGAGACGAATATTAAGTGAAGTAATCAAACCAAGGATTTGTGCACTGCGAGGTTTTGTAGCTTTGAAGTTTGACGGGCTTCCACACCATCATCTTGACAAACCATGGATACATGCAAGGTCATATATTTAATTATGAGCTATTTTGCAATTTGATATTGTTTGAGCTACTCGTCTGTATATCGGTTCATGACAATGAATATATATAACTGGAACGCTACCTTCACTCGATAATTTGAAGCCAAACTTGAAGGCCAGTCCCAGTCTCTTCACGCATGCAAGGAACGGCTAATCATAATATAAACACGGTATCTTGGGTTCAGATTTGGCATCAAGAAAAAGCCGATATATTTGAAGATAGGGAGATAGCATTCAAGTTCTACTCATTTTTTATTGCTCATATACGACGAGTAGCGAAAAACAGGATGGCGGCACAAAATTAACAAGAGTTTTATTGCCGCAGTTCATGGCTAGTAAACTATATTATTTTTCACTCTTTGTTCTTATCGGGGAATATATTCAATAATCCCCTCTAATCAATTTCCGTTTAATAATCCCCTCTAATATTCACCTGCAATGTCTTTGCAGCACAGAAAATGAGAAAAAACAACATCACGAAGGCAATATGGCATGCATTTAGAATTATGTCTATTCTGACTCATTAACGCGACCTCGCAATGTGAAAAATAAGTACGTTATTTTGAGGCACCTCGGGGATATGTGTTTATTCACCTCGGCGCTGCGCGCCTCGGTGGATAAATCACATATCCCTCGTTGCCTCAAAATAACCTATACTTATAAAATAACTACACCATTCGCTCTCGGCGTATATGGTTAAATAACTATCAGCTTATATACGACTCGAGCTCATGTTATAATTTTTAATTATATAGACTAGTCGAACAACCATAAACAGTAGAGAATTCTTTGCTGTTGTGTTCTTAATTAAATTCCGTTTCGCTTGATGACATAGAAATCGTTCTTAATTCTGAGAGGCGAGAGGGTATGGAAGAGGTCGGGGGTGGCTCAGAGACTATTTTTTACATTGCGCTCTAATTGACTAATATTTAAGCTATGATCTTAATTAATTAAGATTGCAGAGCTGCATTAGATTTTGAAATTCTGAAGCGAAGGCATACTGTATATTTGATCGAGCAAAATATTTTCACTGTATTTGACCAATGTTTCAAGCATCAACTTTTTTCCCAAGTTAATCTTAATTAAATATGACGTTGGTTATAGCAGAAATATGTAGGGATCAAACGTTTGATAGCCCGCAAATTTAAAACCGTTTCATTCACTTGATAATACTGATATCATTCGCCCAAAATGACACGCTGTGGCCAGTGCATGTATGTGAGTCAATGCTCCGGCATTTAAATACCATGCACGACTGTTTAATTGGGAAGATTGGTGAGAAGCAAAAATCACTCTATCACTCTATTTATTTGCTTTATTAGTTCAGTATTAGTTTGTTCCGCAATAAAATAATCGAAGTACGACATCATCGACATTAAAGCTATGGAAGTGTTTCTTAAAATTCATTTACAAACATATTAACATTTTTTATAATATTTGATAAACATAGAACCAAGCAATACCTTCTTTAAAGTATTGCGGTTCGTAATATTTAGCGATCAGTTTCCATTTTCCCTCCTCACTAAGTTGATTTATTTTTTCATGAAATTCATATTGAGAATCATCTGCTACATTTCCATTTACACCAAAACATGCCAACCCTCCAGGCTTCACCACGTGAACAACACCAATCCCTTGCCTTTCACGTGTCCAGCAGTAAACACGCCCACACAAATAACTGCGTCGTATTGGTCGGCAGCCACACCCAAATCTTTGCATTGATTAGATCCCATACGTCCTTGCTGTAGTGACCTGTATAGGTTTAATTTACATGTTACAAACCATAAATTAAATACAGTACTTACTTTCACACTTATCATTTTGATTTTTTGTCAAGATATAGTAATACTGGTGGTTGTGGTGGGGATCGGAGGGGTGGGGGAGGGGGCTTAACTAACAAGGGGCGGGGGAATCTACTTTCGGGCGGTATAATAGGCTAACATAATGTGGATTATTTTTCTTTCACTTTGTGCATATGTGAAACTGAACATTTAAAACTATTCGACATTTCGGAGTTAATTTAAATAATATATCCAAAAAACACTGGCGCTATCCGCTGATTCGTGCTAATCCGGAGTCAGTATATATAGTGCCTTTTGGTATTTCGAAAATCTCTTGGGTTTTTTCCGAGACTTTTTATTTTTTTGGATTTGTAGGGATTTAGAGATATTGTTCGAATTTTTACGGTTTTCATACGACGTTTTTGGGTGTGATATACCGCTCAGCTGACCATGATGTGTATCTTTGGAAAATTTTTATATGTGTACAGTCATTACCTATAAGTGCCTTTTGCTTGGGCGACCTCCAGCAGCTCTTGACTGAGATCTAAACCATCTACATTTTTATAACCACGCTTGTGTAATTGCTCTCCAGCTAAACCAGTACCACAGCCGAGATCTAGAATGCTGACATCATCCTTATATCCATATTCCTTTAGTTTTTGTGTCAACTGCTCTGCAGCTACAGCTGGACCAATGTAAGCTAAGTCATGCACATCCTATAAAAAATATTAAGAAAAGTGATTATACTTAACTGAAGTTAACTAAACTCTAGTCTAGTTGCTTTACAGACTGAAAGTTTCGTCTTACGTTTACACGGTCTAATATAATACTAGAGAAATTCGAACACAACTGAACCTATGAATATTTCTCTTGTGAGCGAATGGAACTGGGTTGATTTCGAATTTTCACGACTCCTAATTTCGATGAATGTAAAAGGCGGAATGTCCGTTCTTAATAGCATGGGGACGCAAATTTCGAGACATTCCTAACCCTAATCCTAGCCAATTCCTAACCCCAACACGAATCCATTCCACAGTCAGTCCGCACGCTATTCTGTTTTGTTCATTTGCCTGTCCAATTTGAGGAAATTAATTACTTAATATATGCATGTTTCCGTGGTCTAATTACCAAGAAACCGCAAGAAGTCGTGCCCAGTAAGATACTTTTCATGTACCGAATTTCTCGATGAAAGCACACACTTTGGCCCCGTTTACATGAGACCGGAACGAAGTCAAACCGGGACCAGTTTCGGTCATAGCATTATTTATAATAGATGTTTACATAAGAGCGAGACGAAAATAACTCAGACCGGTCTCCAGTCATTCCGCCTGCTGAACCAAACCGACTGACTTCAGACCGGGATGAATGTAAACACAAATACATTTCAGACCGGTCTAGGCTGTAACCTTGACATTGGAACAACACATGCTAACAAAAGCCATCTGAAGGGGAATAAATTGAAAATCTGGCGAGGGGAATAAATTGAAAATTTTGTGATTTTCATACCGGTCTCGTGTAAACATGTTGACAATTTCAATTTTCATTCCGGTTTGACTTCGTCCCGGTCTCATGTAAACGGGGCCTTAATTCTTGACTAGTAACCATCCATTGAAAATTGAAAAACAATAAAATAGCAGCCATGCATGCTGGTTACAAAATCATAAAAGATAATGAGATTCTTTTGTTTTCATACCATCAACACGGGCACTGTGCAGTCATGAATTGCGACAGTGTGGGTAATTGAAGTACCTGTAAACCAAACTACAAGCAATAACAGTGTATCTTTTTTATCTTTTTTTCTAAACTGTCTTCGAAGATTAGATACAAACTAGAGGATGCATGGAGACTGCACAGCTCCACGAGCGAATCAGTGTACATTATAAAAGGTAATTTAACGTGATCAAACAAATCATATTTTATCAATATATGATGGTGTGGAAACTGAACAGAAGTCATTGTGTTATGTTTTTCTTTGGAGTTAATTATGTTAATTTGTGCAGGCTTTCGGTGATTGAGTCAATGTACTTTCGTATTATGAAGTGATCGTCCATGAGGGATAGCTAAAGTAATCGCAACAATGAAGCTGAGATGAAACGTACAAGCACTATAAATAATATTTAATGAAGATAAGAGAAAGGATTTGTGCATTATAAGGTACATATCAACATCAAACAAAGACCTTCTATTTTGTAGCTTTGAAGTTTGTCGGGATTCCGGATGTTAACTGAAGTTTGCAGTTTTTGCTTGACTATGTTCTTTAAAAAGAGAGACTTGTCAACTTCGGCAAATCTCGGTTCAAAACTGAACCGAAAATGCGAGACTTCCTTTAATCGTTTTCTGTCAGTGTTTATCCCCGAGCAGACGGCGCGAAACGCCGTGCGAGGGTACTAATCCCCCCCGGCTATTTACACCCCAGGAAACGAAAGTTCATCAATTATCGCGGGCGTGCGTGACCAACGATGTTGGGTGTGTGGCATAGAAATAATAGACATAGAATGCGTGCTGATGACGAATCATGTCTCCACTTTTTCACCGTGCATGCCCTTTTGAATGCGCCATTTTGAATTTTGGCCAGGAGTGCAAACTACATTACTACAAAGTATAAACAAAGCTAAAACTACGTTTTCATCGTCAAAACGTTTTGTCTTGTTGTCTAATTTGTAGTTTGGGGATAGATTTTGAGTTCCTTGAAGCCACAAACTGTCAAAGCAAATGTGCAGTTACAAAACACTATGAAAACAGTGAAAATCGTGCAGCCTTTTAAAAGCAAAGTAGTTTCGCGAAAATATAATTTACTCAAAACATTTTTGCATGCTCTAAACGTAACTGTTTTGCTAATATCTTATAAGATTACAAAATGATAGTTCTTTCTTCGTCGGGTTTCGTTTTTCTTTGATGTAAACGAAGGTTTTTTATTTTTTTGAAACAAAAATATTTAATTTAGTTGTCGATAGACTGTAAATTGTCTAAATAATCGTCGAAAACTATGGTTTCAAAAGCGTTGCCTCAAGCTCAAGCAACACAGAAAAATATGAAAAGTAATTGTGTAAGTTTAAAAAGATTACTGAACTTCATTTATATTATATTATATTATATTATAAAAAAGTTGAAATATTTATAGAACATACCTATTGAGTTTGAGTTTGTCTTGATCTTTCGGGTTTTGTTTTGGCTTGCACAACAACGTTGAAAATTTATTTTTAAACGATGATTTCTGTATATATTCTGTTCAGAACTGTTGCTTTTCGTAAAAAAGCCCACTAGAATGGGTTTTTAGACACTTTTTGCACTTTTTTTTCCATTTTAAGTCTCGATATAAAATTTTTGCAAACTTTGCATTTGAAAAAACAATTTGCACTCTCTGCAACCGCGCGAAATTCCCACTGAAATTCCCTGCCGCCTGGGAGTCTGGGAACCAAAATGCCCTTATAAATCCGCCATTTTGTGGAGACAAATTTTTCACTGAGAAAAGATAGGGGTACGCATTCTATAGGCCGGTTTACACGACCAGTGTTTTGGGCACGGCACCCCTAAAAATGGGCACCCGTGCCGAAAATTTTAGGCACGGCACCTCTGCCTTTTGGCGTGTAAACGTGGCAATAATCGGCACCGGTGCTGCAAAATTTAAACGTGCCGAGACTTTCTCACGAGGTAGTCTCGGCACGTCTAGCAAGGGGTGCCGTGCCCAAATTTCGAAAAAAATAAAAAATGTGTTCGACATCGAGCATGCGCAAAACAAATTGTCTTCTTTCCAACATGGCAGCAAGCGGCGAAAAACTACAATTTGCCAAATATAAAAAAAAACAAGGTTAAAAACAAATTTAAATAACACAGAATGTGAATGTTGCTCTAGTTGACTCGGAAATTTTGATACCACTGTTCGTCGCTGAAGAGAGCAGTAACTAGGTCGTAGCAAATAGCTGTCGTTCGATGCGTCCATACCTCTCGAATTCGTGGCGGGTGAATACAAGATGGCACAACATTTATGCGAGAAAACAACTCCTTTCGTCTTAAAGGGCCTGTTCATATGGGCAAAGGTTATTTCGGTTGACGAGAAAACTTTTCGACTAGCCAAATATACTTTTGTTCTGTCCACATGCATGGAGAAATGTTATTCCGCTTACCGGGTAAAGTTTCCGGCTGTGACATAGCACTGAATATCAATTGAATTGAAAAGTCAGTACTGACACGACAGAAAGCTATCCTGCCAAGCGGGAACTAGAGTTGTGTTCATATGGGAAAAACATTATCACTTGACAAACGAGATCTCGGTACATACACGGGAAAACGTTTTGTCTTATATGAACGCAGTGTAAACAAACTTTTCATATTATTTTCATACCAAGGCGAGATCTCGCTTGTAAACTTTTCGAAAAGTTTTTTCACTAACCAGGATAACTTTTGCCCATATGAACTGGCCCTTGAAGTACGTTCCTAGTATTGAATTGGTTTTTCCCTCGATTTTCGGCTCATATAATATTCTTCTTCGTTCCAATAAATATAAATATATAATTCTATTTCTGGCCGGCATATTTATTCTTTAAAATATACCGTCGTAAACGGAAAATAGAGGTGCCGTTTTCCGATGGGCACGCACTGAATATCAATTGAATTGAAAAGATGCTGATACGACAGAAAGTCAGTATCCCGCTAAGCGGTAAAGTTGTGTTCATGCATATGGGAAAAACATTATTCCGGTCACCGAGATTTGGCTTGTCAACAAGCGAGATCTCGGTACACGGAAAAACTTTTTGTCTCATATGAACGCAGTGTAACTTTTCATATTATTTTCATACCAAGGCAAGATCTCGCTTGTAAACTTGTCGAACCGCTAACCGAGATAACTTTCCGCTAACCCCGATCGCTAACCGGGATAACTTTTGCCCATATGAGCCTTAAAGTACTTTTCTAGTATTGAATTGGTTTTTCCCCTCGATTTTCGGCTCATATAATACTCTTCTTCGTTCCAATAAATATAAATATATAATTCTATTTCTGTCCGACATATTTATTCTTTAAAATATACTGTCGTAAACGGAAAGTAGAGGTGCCGTTTTCCGATGGGCACGGTGCCTATCATAAAAAGTGTGTTTACAAAATGTTGTCGTGTAAACGAGTAAATAGCGAAGTGGCGGTTTTGGCACGGTGCCCATTTTCAGGGGTGCCGTGCCCAAAACGCTTGTCGTGTAAACTGGCCTTA